CAGAGTGAAGCACCTGCATCTGAAAATCTCTCTCCTTCTCTTCCCCTGTTCTTATGAACATTTTTGTCCTAATTGAGATTTTTGATGTTGAGTTCAAACTCATTTTCTTTTTTTGGAATGTTCTGAACGTAATTGGCGATAATTATTTGTAATTATCTTTAAAAACTGTCTGTAGTAAAGCCAACACACACACACACACACACACAGAATGCTGACTGACTAATTGGTTGAGTGCAGTTTTCCTTTCATCAGTTCAGAGATGGAGAGATGAGCAGTTTAAAGAGGCCATCCTTCACCTGCTCCATCCATCCATCCTCCATCCCTCCATCCATACCTCCATCCATCCATACCTCCATCCATCCATCCATCATCCATTCATCCATCCATCCATCCTCCATCCATCCATCCATCCCTTCGTCCATCCATCATCCATCCATCCGTCCTCCATCCATCCATCCATCCATCCACCAATCCCCATCCATCATCCATCCATACCTCCACCCATCATCCATCCATCCTCCATCCATCCATCCATCCATCCATCATCCTTCCATCCATCCATCCATCCATCATCCATCCTCCATCCATCCATCTTTCCTCCATCCATTCATCCATCCATCCCTCCATCCATCCATCCTCCATCCATACCTCCAACCATCCATCCATCCATCCATCCTCCATCCATCCATCCATCCATCCATCCCTCCATCCATCATCCATCCATCCATCCATCTTCCATCCCTCCATCCATCCGTCCATCCTCCATCCGTCCATCCATCCCTTCGTCCATCCATCATCCATCCATCCATCCATCCATCCATCCTCCATCCCTCGATCCATCCATCCGTCCATCCCTCCATCCTCCATCCATCCATCCATCCCTTCGTCCATCCATCCATCCATCATCCATCCATCCGTCCTCCATCCTCCATCCATCATCCATCCATACCTCCATCCATCATCCATCCATCCATCCATCCTCCATCCCTCGATCCATCCATCCGTCCATCCCTCCATCCTCCATCCATCCATCCATCCCTTCGTCCATCCATCCATCCATCATCCATCCATCCGTCCTCCATCCTCCATCCATCATCCATCCATACCTCCATCCATCATCCATCCATCCATCCATCCTCCATCCCTCGATCCATCCATCCGTCCATCCCTCCATCCTCCATCCATCCATCCATCCCTTCGTCCATCCATCATCCATCCATCCATCCGTCCTCCATCCATCCATCCATCCCTCCATCATCCATCCATACCTCCATCCATCATCCATCCATCCATCCATCCTCCATCCATCCATCCATCCATCCATCCATCCATCTACCATCTATCTATCCATCCATCCATCTATCATCCATCCATCCATCTATCCATCCTCCATCCATCCATCCATCCATCCATCCATCCATCTACCATCTATCTATCCATCCATCCATCTATCATCCATCCATCCATCTATCCATCCTCCATCCATCCATCCATCCATCCATCCATCCATCTACCATCTATCTATCCATCCATCCATCTATCATCCATCCATCCATCCATCCATCCATCCATCATCCATCCATATCTCCATCCATCCATCATCCATCCATCCATCTATCCATCCTCCATCCATCCATCCATCATCCATCCATCCATCCATTCACTTCTCACGAATCTGCTTTCAAAACTGACGTTTTTTAAACTAGAAGCCAGTTTTATTTAGTATCATTGATATACTATTATAGTTTTTGTCAGTGGTGGACGAAGTACACAAATCAAGTACTTGAGTAAAAGTACAGATACGTATAATAAAATATTACTCCAGTAAAAGTAAAAGTGCTCCTTTTTCAATTTTACTCGAGTGAAAGTACAAAAGTACTCGATT